TTGTGGGAGCTTCATCACTGGAGGTTTTCAAGAAGAGATTGGACAGCCATCTGTCAGAAATGGTGTATGGTCTACTTCTTGGATGGGGGGTTTGGACTAGATGACCTACAAGGTCCCTTCCAACTCTGTTATTTCTGTTATTTCTGTCTTCTCATTTCATATAGATTAGCTGCCCTTCTAAGAGATCAGACGACGAAAATGCCATCTGAACACTCAGAACTGAAGAAGCTTCTTGGATGAGAAGCGAAACAACTTCAAGGAAAAAAAACAAGAAAGTCCAGTTGCCTTTTGAAAAGCAATTTTGGGACTCTGGAAGATGTCTTATCTCTATCTGATTCACAGGCCAGAGTGTGATTAATTAAGGTAAAAAGATGATGATGATGCGGTAGAAAAATGTTCAAGGTTGACTCAATCTTCCATCCTTTCTAAGGTAGGTAAATTGAGGACCCAGTTTGTGGGGGCAATAAGCTGACTTTGTAAAAATATACAAAAGTATGAAGGCTATTGCTTAATGCATTGTAAGATGCCCTGAGTCTCCGGAGAAGGGCGGCATATAAATCAAATTAAAAAAAAAAAAAGTGGTTTGCTCAGGCATGTTTGTTCTGTGGTAACGCGTTTAAAGATCCCTTAAACCAAACATGATTTTTCAGAAGAAAAGATTTAAGAGGTTTTCCAGATCAAGAACCACTTGAGATACCAACCAAGGAAACTTCTACCACCTTCAGTCACGCATCTTCTGCACAAAATAAAACTATACCTGGTCAAAACGTCACCAAACGCACGGTAGCTCTGAGGTCATCAATTCTGAAAGATGGGGAAAGATGGGGTTTACCTGGATTAGCCTGTTTCCCATTTTTTAAATCTTCTTCTCGCGACTTGGAGTCTTTCTGCATCTCACAGCTCCGTACAACGAATAAAATGGTCTTGGATTTTCCTTATCTGTTCAAAATGGCTTTCTTTTCCCCCCCTCAGTGTGGAGCAAAATGGATGGATCTTTCTGTGGCACATAAAAACAGTCCCAAGGACGATGGTAGCAGTTCAGAAATATTGCTTCTTCGATAGCATCTCTTGTTAGCTCAATGCTGAAGGCAAAGCTACCATGGACAATTATATAGGGACCTGCCCTATGTTTTGGAATCCTGGCTGTAACTGGATAATCAGGATATGTTTCCCCTAGACATGCTCAGGTTAATAGAACTTTAGTACCTCATCCCCCATAAACTCAACATTTGCATAAGCTATTTGCATCATCCACCCACAGCAGTGTTATCAAAAGGTTTTGATGATTCATATGAGAAAATGCTTCCAAGATTCTTTTCTTCTGAATTATTCCCAGCATCTGGCATCTCATTAATTTCAGAATGGGATCTGCATGTCCCTTCACATTTTTTTTTTCTTCTTCTCATTAGTTTCATTTCTGGATTGTGTGCAGAATTGCAGACATCGTAATTGGATGAAGCTTCCGATACCATCTTTCCAATGCCGTCTTTCATATTTATTCTTTGCAGAAATGGGTAATAGACTAAAGACCCACCACAGTGTAAATCATGGTATCCTAAACTGGAAAAGGAAGACAGAAATAGTCTGGTCCAACTATTTGCTTCCTGCCTGGGCAGGGGGTTGGACTAGAAGACCTCCAAGGTCCCTTCCAACTCTGTTATTCTATTCTATTCTAACTCTTTTTTTTTACCAATGTAGAAAATCAGTCTCCACAGATGGAAACTGGCAATCACAAAGGATGTTGGATTACAAGCCATTATGCTGATTCTTTGCACTGCAAGCAGTCCCCGATTTACAACCACAATTGAGCCCCAAATTTATGTCGCTATGCAATTGTTAAGTGAGTTTTGCGGCTGCCATGAACACACTTCAGTTGCCAAGTGTCCAAATTTTGATCACGTGACCATGGGGATGCTGCAACAGTCATAAGCGTAAAATAAGTCACTTTTTTCAGTGCCATTGTAACTTAGGACAGTCGCTAAAAGAATGATTATAAGTAGAAGACTATCTGTATGCTGACTGGAAATGAGTTTTTTTTTATTTTTATTTGGCTCCTGTTAAATACCTATAGTGTAAATAATTCGTCCATTTCCAAGGTAGTCTATTCCTCTGAAATAGTTCAATAATCCCTTCGGGGAGAAAGGCGGTATATAAATTCAATTTTTATTATTATTATTATTATTATTATTATTATTATTATTATTATTATATATTAGATTAGATTAGATTAGATTAGATTAGATTAGATTAGATTAGATTATAATAATAATAACAGTCGACCACCTGATCAGTGGGTGCAGCAAAATTTCACAAACTGACTACCTACAACGCCATGACCGTATTGCTAAGATCATTCACTGGAAATTGTGCCAGAAATTTGGATTTGAGTACAGCAAAAACCACTGGGAACATCAGGTTGAGAAAGTTTTAGAGAATGAGAAACTCAAGATCTTGTGGGACTTTAGGATTCAGACTGACAGGCACTTGGTCCACAACACACCTGACATAACAATAGTTGAAAAGAAAAAAGTATGGTTCATTGACATTGCACTACCTGGTGATGCACAGATTGAAGATAAGCAGCAAGAAAAAATCACAAAGTACCGGGATTTGCAAATTGAAGTTGAGCGACTGTGGAAAAAGGAATCGTGTGTTGTCCCAATTGTAATTGGAGCCCTTGGAGCAATACCCAAAGGGCTACCCCACTATTTAGAAAAAGAAATTCTAAATTTGCCGGACTTGAACATTTTGACTCTACAAAAAACCACCTTACTCGGAACAGTTTACATCCTCCGACGATACCTTAACAGTTCCTAGGTCCTTGGTTAGGACTCGAGCTGCTGAGCTATTAACCAGCCTCAAAGGCTGTGAATCTCACTAAAGATTAAATAATAATAATAATAAGAAGAAGAAGAAGAAGAAGAAGATGAAGATGAAGATGAAATAAATTTTCCTGAGTTTTGTGCTTCTTCACTCTGGATCAAATTTATTCCACCAAGACCTTCAAGTAGGCAACGATGCTGTTATATTGTGAATTAATTGTGGAGGTCTTGGTGCTCCCTGAGCATAGTGGTTTTCTTGCAGACATTTCATTCAATGCACTGATGATGTTACCTAGTTTGGTAATGAAATGTCTACAGGAAAACTACCAAGCTCTGAGAGCACCAAGGACCGCAACGTTCAATCCTGAGCTACAAATATTCTATTTTAATCGTCTCTTCTTCAGGCTAATCAGATCCAGCTCCTTCAGTTGTGCCTTATAACACTAAAGAACTTTAGAAAGTTTTTATCTTTTAAATTATTTTTTTTATTTACACAACACACCAAGAAATTCTTAAAAGACAGGAATTAAATAAGGAATGAAACCTAGGAAGAAGAAAACATATTTTGTAAATCAAACCCCATAGATAGGGATTAGGGACAGCTGCAGTGAGGTGGATGTTAAATTAGACAAGATGGTGGCCATGGTTATGACACTGAAGTTTCACCTCACAAACACACACACGCACACATACACTTTTTAAAATGTCTTTTGCCTGAAAAAAGAAGGTGGGGTTTTAATCTGCAGCTCTTGGCTTGTTTTGATCCATTTCTTCCACATGCTCAAGTTGAGAGCAGAGTAACTACACTTGTAATCTTAAAAAGAGATAGAACATTTTAGACAGAGTAACAGAGCTGGAAGGGATCTTGAAGGTCTTCTGGTCCAACCTCCTGCACAAGTAGGAGACCCTATACCATTTCAGACAAGTGGCTGTCCAGTCTCTTCTTAAAAGCTTCCAGTGATGGAGCACCCATAACTTCTGAAGGCAAGTTGTTCCGCTGATTAATTGTTCTGTCAGGAAATTTCGCCTTAGTTCTAGATTGGTTCTTTCCTTGATTAGTTTCCATCCATTGCTTCTTGTTCTGCCTTCAGGTGCTTTAGAGCAGGGGTCTCCAACCTTGGGAACTTTAAGCCTGGAGGACTTCAACTCCCAGAATTCTGAGAGTTGAAGTCCTCCAGGCTTAAAGTTCCCAAGATTGGAGACCCCTGCTTTAGAGAATAGCTTGACTCCCTCTTCTTTGTGGCAGCCCCTGAGATATTGGAACACTGCTATCATGTCACCCCCACCTCCTTCTTTTCATTAAACTAGATATACCCAATTCCTGCAACCGTTCTTCATATGTCTTAGCTTTCAGCCCCTATGAATATCACCTTTGATATTCATATTCCATATAGCAGAAAAGTCTAGATAGCACCCTGAAGATGATATGCAATAGCTGTTACGAAAAACAAAACCATCTTATCAGGAAAGGAGAAGATAAGGAAAAAACTCTTTGTTATTTTGTTATCTTTTGTTATTATACCCTGTAACTACAGAGTTGAGTTACAGTAATCCTTACAGTAATCCAATAAGTCCATTTCCCAACCTTGTCTATTCTGAAGTGTTGACATATATTTCTGTATAATATATGTATTACATAAGCAGGAATCATTCCATTTGGTATTACTTGGTAATATATGAATATGGGGTTCATGTTTATTATTTGCTCAATACCCCTTGTTTTGTTTTGTTCTGTTCATTTTGCTGTCTATTAGATTATTTTAGTCTGGGCTGTTTGCTTGATTTAACATTCTTTGTTGTTTTTATGCTTTCTCTAATTTTGTATAGTACAGTCATCCAAATCCACTGAAGTTGGTGGCCAATCCATTACATTTAAATAAATAATAATCACAGGCAAATTAAGCAACTCTTTGCTCAAAGAAGTTCTTCAAGACACAGTTGTGCTGTAGAGTTTTTTTTTTCTTCAACCAAAAATGTTTTGTACACTTTTAAATCGCAGTGATCCAAAGGAAAATATGTTTGCATTTTCCATTGTTCTGATACAGTAAATCTGGCAATGAGCAAGACAAAGTAAATTAATTTTTTACACGGCAGAAATCTTCTAGTGAACTGGGATTCAGGAAGCCATTCCAATAAAGATCTATTAGGAGGAGGAAGAGCACAGATCAAGCAGAGATACAACAGAGAAACTCTTTCTATTTAATTACTATAGAAGGTATTTCAGCATAAAACCACAGTACAAGAATTAAGGCGAGTACTTTAGCAAGTTGTTCATAGGGCTATCATTCTAATTATAGGATGCTATAGATACATTATTTGAAATGTGGATTTACAGGCGGCTGTTACATATAAGTTGGGTTGACAAAATCCAAAATGAGGAGGTGATAAGCCACCTGGGAAAGCAAAGGGAAATCATCAAAATCATAAAAAAGCTAAAGTTATAATATTTTGGTCATGTGATGCGCCAGAAAAATACAGCATACTTCACTTAATCCTCCAAGGAAAGATTGAAGGCAAACGAGGTCCAGGCAGAAGAAGAACATCATGGCTTCAAAATCTAAAGGACTGGTTTGGACAAAACACAACAGCACTTTATTGTGCGGCTGTTGATAAAAATAGGATCACCAACATGCTCGTCAATGTCCGATGATGGATATGGCACAAGAAGAAGAAGACATACATTAGCTTATGCAATTAACACTTTGTCTCCTGGCGTACTAGCCAATCTCCCCTGGCTGTTTTTGGGAAAATTATTTAAGAGAAAGGTGGGCAATTCCTGGTCTTTGGGTGACCCCAATTGTTTTTGTTTCTGACTTTGCTTTACAGAGAAAAAATTAAGAGAAAAACAAATAATAAATAAATAATACTTTATAATAAAGACACATGGTTCCAAGATCATAAAGAATGTTAACTGGCCATCCATATAACCAATTTAAGATTATATTGTTACCCAGCTTTAAGTATTCTTTTAATGTTGATGCTCAGAATAGAGTTAGGCAATTACAAAGATATCCCTGAATCAGGGAGTCATTAAGATAAAATTAATCCTCCTTCACTTAACCTGAATGTGACTCATGAAATAAAGAAACCAGATGCTAAGATAAGCAAGTGTAAATAAATAAATCTTATTGTATACTCTCATTACGTTCTTGCCTTAGACATGTGACTTAAAGTCTTTCAGGGTGTTTGTCTTTCTGGATCTGGTGAACCCACAAGGTTTCTCTCAAAACAAATTTTTATAGCAGGGATGTCCAACCATGGCAACTTTAAGACCTGTGGATTCAATTCTGAGAAATGGGGAATTTTGGAAGTTGAAGTCCACAGGTTTTAAAGTTGCCAATGTTGGACACCTCTCTTTTACAGGATGGTTAGTTAGTTGACTGATCAGAGGGTTAATGGACACTATTTCCACCAAGAAGATATCCTCCCAAGTTGGCTGGTGTATATTCTTGGGCTTCTGGATCCAGATCAGTGGTGGGTTGCCCCTGGTTCAGACCGGTTCGCAAGAACTGGTAGTAAAACCGGTGGGAGGCTCCGCCCGCCAACCCCATTGTCATCAGGAAGCTTCTGCACGCACAGCCCCATTGTGAACCAGTAGTAAAGGTAAGTACAACCCACCCCTGATCCAGATGTAATGGAATAGCAATTCCAACACATCTTCTGGCCCACATATCTGGATGACTCCAAGTTACGGAAGACCACTGTTGGTTTTCCTTGCCCAGATGGCCTTTCCAAACTACCCTCTTCAAGTCTTTTTAATCTACCTTTCCCATTTTGCTCTGTGGGTATGATGAGCTTCATCTATTACATAATGATTAATCTAAGAGTGTTGAAGGGCTGGGCCTCATAGCTGATGGGAAGGGATTAAGCCACCTCTACAGACATCTTGGAAAACAGGTGTTTGCCTATATGCAGTTAACCAATAAGCTGGCAAGGACCAGGTGGGTCCATAGCACAACCCTAAATCCTGACATTTCTGGAGCTCTTTGTGGAGTGATGTTGGGTCAGGAGGTGGAGAAGAACTGCCAGGAGATGTTGAACTGTCCCCTGGGAAGTAGCATGGAAAGGTAGCCATGCTCTCTTCTGTAATGGACACCACACACTGTTTTCTTTCCAGCACGCTGGTCACTGAGACTGGTTGGATCCAAGACATCTTCACATGGCACCATTCTTCTGCATCTTGTCTTTGGCCTCCTCCAGTGGTCTCTAGGAATGCAGTTGACCTTGGTTTCTTTGCTGAGCTAGGTTGGCCCTTGCGGAATTTTGCTCGGCGATTTTTGAACCATACCTGTGATGGGGCCAAGAAGGGTTGGGGGGGAAAAAGTGATACTTGGGTTAAGGATTATGGAAATTCTCCATTGTACGAAAAGTGTTCTTTGCAGCTATGGAACTGTAAAGTCTGAAGACGGAAAGTGGAATTCAAACAAAGGAAATTCCTGCCTTGCAGAAAATTAGCAACATTGCTAAGCAAAGTGGTTAAGTGAGCCATGCCCGATTCTACAACCTTTTTGCCATGGTTGTTAAGTGAATCACTGCAGTTGTTAAAGGAATCATTTGGTCATTAAGTAAATCCAACCTCCCCCATTGGTTTTACTTTTTGGAAGTCAACAGGGAAGGTGACAAATGGCGATCCTACAACCCCAGAAAACGACAACCATGGTTAGTACATGCCAATTGCTAAGAGCTCAATTTCGATCATACAACCATGGGGTTGCTGTGACAGTCATAAGTATGAGGACTGGTTGTTAGTCATTTTTTCCATGCTGCTCTAACTTCGAACGGTCACTAAACAAATGGCTGTACGTCAAGGACTACCTGTATATTGCTGTAATCTATAAGGATTTGTCTTGATGACTGTTCCAAGTGCCTCTTTCTCTTCTCTTTGACTCACATGAGAATACAGATAATATAGTGCCCTGCACTACCCACATAATCACAGGTGTCAAACTCGTGGCATCATGTTGCTGTCACGGCAGGCGTGGGCATCACATTATGTAACAACCAGTTCACCCAGCACTGAAAATGTGAGTGTGAGCACATGCTCGCTTCATTTGCATGCGTGTCTTCTGTGCATGCTTGTGGCTTCAAAAACACGGCGACTATATAGGACAGGATAGCGCCAGGGCAGGTGGGTGGGCCCAGCTGCTGGTCGGAACTACCGGTTCGCCCAAACTGGCAACAGCCCACCTCTGATCATTGGAAAAGAACCTTGGTGGCGCAGCAGACTAATGTACTATTAAGTAATACCAGCTGCCTGCAATTACTGCAAGTTCAAATCTCACCAAATTCAAGGTTGACTCAGCCTTCCATCCTTTCGAGGTAGGTAAAATGAGGATCCGGATTGTGGGGGCAATAAGCTGACTTTGTATAAAAAAGAACACCGCTTAGGGGGGGCCAAAAGCCCTACTAAGCAGGTATTTACAAAAGTATGAAGGCTATTGCTTAACGCATTGTAAGCCACCCTGAGTCTCCGGAGAAGACCAATAAATAAATAAATATATATATATATCATGTCGTTTTCCCCCTTCGTGGGGGTGTGGCTTGCGTGTGACGCATCCAGCCCATGGGTACCAGTTTGACACCCCTGCACATAATCAAATAGTTAAAACATGTGAGAAAAGCAGAAATACGCCCTGAGACAGATGCAATGTATTTCTTTATTACCCAAGGACCACACACCTTAAGGTGGTAAATGGGTTGGAAAGAATCCACGCTTGATAGGTGGCATTGTAGGACAGTGTTTCCCAACCTTGGCCACTTCCAGATGTGTAAATCTCAAATTGCAGAATTCCACAACCAACGTAACCATTGATGAGAATTCTGGGAGTAGCAGTCCACACATCTTAAATTTGCCAAGGTTGGGAAGTGCTAGTGTAGGACTTTGGAAAACAAGGCAACTCTTAATGCAATAGTGTACTTTTTCCTTTCTTTTTAAGAAAACATGTTTCCAACATGCTCACTGCTTTTACTTACGCCTACAAAATACAATTTCTAATGCGCAACTCTTTATAAAATGTACACTTCAAATGCACTTATTCATAACGGACAGTTGCTAACATCCAGTTTTAGCAAACAGTCGTCTTCTTTTTTTTCTTTTTTTTTTTGATTTATATGCCGCCCTTCTCTGGAGACTCAGGGGGGCTTACAATGCATTAAGCAATAGCCTTCATACTTTTGTATATTTATACAAAGTCAGCTTATTGCCCCCACAAACCGGGTCCTCATTTTACCTACCTTAGAAAGGATGGAAGGCTGAGTCGACCTTGAGCCTGGTGAGATTTGAACTTGCAGTAATTGCAGGCAGCAGATGTAAGTGGATGTTAATAACAGTGCTTTCATCACCTCATTCAATGGTTTCAATTGTTTCATCACCTCATTCAATGGTTTTCAACTTTAGCAACTTTAAGAGGTGTGGACATCAACTCCCAGAATTCCCCACCCAGAATTCGAGGAAATGAAGTCCACGGCTCTTAAAAGTTATTAAGGTTGAGAAACACTGCCCTAATTTATACTACAGTACTCAGTACTGTATATGAAAGTTTGAAGATAGGAAAACAGACACTACGGGGGCGCTGTGCATGGCAGACTGCTACTTAAAAACATTGAGGGGGTCCTTGGTGCTCTCTGAGCTTGGTTGTTTTCTTGCAGATGTTTCATTACCCAATGCAACATCTGCAAGAAAACAGTCAAGCTCAAAGAGCACCAAGGACCTCCCTCATTTCAACCCTGAGCTACAAATATTCTCCTTTATCGCTACCTATAACATTGTCTTAACAGATGTCGTTATGTCATCATTTAAAGAGCATTAAGAGTTGTTAACCTAATCTTGCAAAGCTTCTTCTCCAGTAATATTGTACTGCAAACTAGGGCATACGAAACCTTTGCTAGACCAATTCTCGAATACAGCTCGTCTGCCTGGAATCCACACTGTATATTGGACATTAATACAATTGAGTGAGTCCAGAGGTATTTCACGAGAAGAGTACTCCACTCCTCTGCTCACAACAGAATATCTTATGCCACCAGGCTTGAAAGTTTGGGCTTAGACAACTTAGAATTACCCGCCTTCTGTCTGACCTAAGCATAGTACACAAAATTATCTTCTACAACCTCCTACCTGTCAATGACTAGTTCAGCTTCAACCACAACAATACATGAGCACACAATAGATACAAACTCAAAACCACTCCAGACTCAATTGCAGAAAATACGACTTCAGCAACAGAGTGGTCAATGCCTTGGAATGCACTACCTGACTCTGTGGTTACATCCCCAAAGCCCCCAAACTTTAACCTTAGACTGTCTACTGTTGACCTCACACCATTCCTAAGAGGTCTGTAAGAGGCGTGCATAAGAGGACCAGCGTGCCTACCGTCCCTGTCCTATTGTCCCCATTTATTTGTATCTATTTTCTGTATTCATAATCATGTTTACACTTATATCTGTTATCTTATACATGCTTGAAGAAAGAAAGAAAGAAAGAAAGAAAGAAAGAAAGAAAGAAAGAAAGAAAGAAAGAATCCTTGATATCTCAATATAATACCAACTGGGACGTCCCACCGGAATTGAATATTTCTCCTTTTTAACTCAGACACCAGAAAGCCAAATTTCTTCCTTTCCATTAGTATCTTAGGTGGGAGTTCCTTGTAAATCCAAATCTTTCTTCCATACAATTGCAAATTAGAATTGAAGGAATTTTGCACAATTTTATTCCTAATTTCTTTATCTGAAAAATAGATTACCACATCTCTAGGCAATTGCCTTTGCTTGGCAGTCCAGGAGTTTATTCGATAAGCTCTGTCAATCCTACAAAACACTTCCTCAGGTTGAATCTTTAAAATCCCAGCTAGAAATTCAGAAGATATTTTCCTTAAGTCATCTCTGTTATTTTCCTGCAAACCTCTAAGTCTTATTGCATATTCTGTGAAATTATATTGTATCTTTAGAACCTCTTTTTGAATCCTCTGTTCCAGATATTCTACATTACCAGACTTTTGGTCAGCATCCATTTTAAATTTTTCTTCTGAACTATAATCCTGAATATTTAACAAATCATTTTCAATTTTTTGAATTCTATTGTCCAATTTATCTTGAATTTCATCCATTTTTGACTCTAGTAAATTAGTATTTGTATCCAACCGAATCATGAATTCTGACAATTTTAAAATTTTTTGCTGCAAAAAGTCAAACTTGGATTTCACCAATTCCTTAGTTTCCTGCTTAAATTTTTCAAGTTGCTGATTCACAATCTCATCCCTTCTTTCAATCTCCTCTAAGAGAAATTCTATTATATTAAAATCAGGTTTCTGGGACTGAAGAGTTAAAACTTGTTCCTTTAAATTCTTAGTGGGGGAATCCCCCCCACCTATTTGTTTGTCTGACTTCACAAGCCTCAGTGCCATGTTTCCGCCTAAGCAGGCTTTGTTAGAAGAAGAAAAAAAAAAAAAACAAGACAAAAGACTTCCAGCCAGCAACACTCAAGCCTCCAGGGAAAAAAGAGAAAAACAAAAACAGGAGCGGAGTTTTGTCTACAAATGTAGCCAGTGGTATTTATTCCGCTACATTGTAATAATAAAAAACGGAAGAACTTTCCCTCTCAAACTCTTCTCCAGCCGCGGCAGACGCCATTTTAAAAAGAAACTTTTTTCCTCTTTCTCTTCCTCTATTCTCTTAAGTAATTTTTAAAAGATAAGTAAAATACTTGCGCTTCAGTATTACAGGTCCAGCTCACATTTTCTTTGAGTAATCTGTCAAATTCGCAGGCTTGCTTTTGACGCCTGGCTCTGCATTAGCAGAGGTCTCCCAAAGCCCGGAGCAGCGGCTGGGGATATGGGGCATCTCATCCGCTCCATCCCAAAAGTAAAAGAAAAACTTTTGGGACTCTGCAGAGAGTTCTACCCACCCCTGCCGGCTCTATCTCCGTTTCCTCATGGGAACGGAGTTTTTTCGAGCCGCCGTTCCGTTGTGAAGGCGGCTCTGACAGGCAGTGGAAGCTGACGATCCCAAAGGAACGTCTGGCGGCGGCCAGCAGCAAACAAGAAGTCTACAAAATACAATTTCTAATGCGCAACTCTTTATAAAATGTACACTTCAAATGCACTTATTCATAACGGACAGTTGCTAACATCCAGTTTTAGCAAACAGTCGTCTTCTTTTTTTTCTTTTTTTTTTTGATTTATATGCCGCCCTTCTCTGGAGACTCAGGGGGGCTTACAATGCATTAAGCAATAGCCTTCATACTTTTGTATATTTATACAAAGTCAGCTTATTGCCCCCACAAACCGGGTCCTCATTTTACCTACCTTAGAAAGGATGGAAGGCTGAGTCGACCTTGAGCCTGGTGAGATTTGAACTTGCAGTAATTGCAGGCAGCAGATGTAAGTGGATGTTAATAACAGTGCTTTCATCACCTCATTCAATGGTTTCAATTGTTTCATCACCTCATTCAATGGTTTTCAACTTTAGCAACTTTAAGAGGTGTGGACATCAACTCCCAGAATTCCCCACCCAGAATTCGAGGAAATGAAGTCCACGGCTCTTAAAAGTTATTAAGGTTGAGAAACACTGCCCTAATTTATACTACAGTACTCAGTACTGTATATGAAAGTTTGAAGATAGGAAAACAGACACTACGGGGGCGCTGTGCATGGCAGACTGCTACTTAAAAACATTGAGGGGGTCCTTGGTGCTCTCTGAGCTTGGTTGTTTTCTTGCAGATGTTTCATTACCCAATGCAACATCTGCAAGAAAACAGTCAAGCTCAAAGAGCACCAAGGACCTCCCTCATTTCAACCCTGAGCTACAAATATTCTCCTTTATCGCTACCTATAACATTGTCTTAACAGATGTCGTTATGTCATCATTTAAAGAGCATTAAGAGTTGTTAACCTAATCTTGCAAAGCTTCTTCTCCAGTAATATTGTACTGCAAACTAGGGCATACGAAACCTTTGCTAGACCAATTCTCGAATACAGCTCGTCTGCCTGGAATCCACACTGTATATTGGACATTAATACAATTGAGTGAGTCCAGAGGTATTTCACGAGAAGAGTACTCCACTCCTCTGCTCACAACAGAATATCTTATGCCACCAGGCTTGAAAGTTTGGGCTTAGACAACTTAGAATTACCCGCCTTCTGTCTGACCTAAGCATAGTACACAAAATTATCTTCTACAACCTCCTACCTGTCAATGACTAGTTCAGCTTCAACCACAACAATACATGAGCACACAATAGATACAAACTCAAAACCACTCCAGACTCAATTGCAGAAAATACGACTTCAGCAACAGAGTGGTCAATGCCTTGGAATGCACTACCTGACTCTGTGGTTACATCCCCAAAGCCCCCAAACTTTAACCTTAGACTGTCTACTGTTGACCTCACACCATTCCTAAGAGGTCTGTAAGAGGCGTGCATAAGAGGACCAGCGTGCCTACCGTCCCTGTCCTATTGTCCCCATTTATTTGTATCTATTTTCTGTATTCATAATCATGTTTACACTTATATCTGTTATCTTATACATGCTTGAAGAAAGAAAGAAAGAAAGAAAGAAAGAAAGAAAGAAAGAAAGAAAGAAAGAAAGAAGGGAAAGAAAGAAAGAAAGAGCCTTCTTTTCACAATCCCTAATTACAACGTGACCAAAGATGGATCAGTGTTCTACTGTATATGCATGTAATACATACCGGTACATGGTTATATGGGACAGTATGTGTCCATTGCTAATCATGCATGGATGCAGAACAGGGAAGTGCAGCCAAGTGGTTTTGCATTGGCGCTGGAGTGCAATCAAATTAATTGAGATTAAACTTTCCATAGTGTGCAATGAATATTAACACACACAGGAAAGTTATTAAACTCTCCAGTTGTTCAGGTGAACAGCCAGTTGTTGAACTCCCTTCTCTGGGTGCAAGAAAACTTATTACACCAAAAAGAAGAGCAAAATTGCAGGTAATAAGATAAGGGTACATAGCATGTCCGTGGAAAGATAAGGGTATTTATTACGAAACATCCAAGAATGGTCCCTGTAATAAATTGTGAAAATTTGGAAAGTATGACGCCAGCACCCTGTTCAGAGAAGAGTTGTAAAAAGTCAAACCATTAATTAAGTGATTTTGACATTTCCATTTATGAGGGTGAGTAAACCCACTCGGTTCTCCTGCAAAACTAGTGCCCAAATTGTGACAAAGATCATTCAAAACAATGGAATGGAATGGATAAGCTCCATTTGAATCAGGACCACTTCTCATTCAGGGTGCAGGAGAAATTTTACTTCAATTCACATTCAGCTGCCAAGATTTGAATTCTGTAGTTTTGGGGGCAAACATGAACTGAAACTTAAGTTACCTGCTGAAGTTATGTTTTCTCCAAATTTTGTTATACAATCAAAAGGTAACATATCTTGGGAAACTTGTGGCCCTCCCCAAAATTAAAGTAAGCCTTATCCAAAAATTATTTAACTCATGGGAAGGGCAAGAGGCAAAACAAGAGTCAAACCAACATGTGTATCATTGCTCCTCTTACTGGCAGCAGGCAATCTGCTGTTTTGTACAACTTTATAATTAATGGCAATTAAGAATAACGGAGCTTGGGAGACAGAACCTCTGATCTCGGTTGCCAACCCAGATTGTATCCTTGTAGAATAACAGAGTTGGAAGCAGAGGTGGGTTTCAGCAGGTTCTGACCAATTCTGGAGAACCGGTAGCAGAAATTTTGAGTCGTTCGGAGAACCGGTAAATGCCACGTCTGACTGGCCCCACCTCCATCTATTCTCTGCCTCCTGAGTCCCAGCTGATCAGGAGGAAATGGGGATTTTGCAGTATCCTTCCCCTGGAGTGGGGAGGGAATGGAGATTTTACAGTATCCTTCCCCTGCCACACCCAACAAGCCATGCCCACCAAGCCACGCCCACAGAACCGGTAGTAAAAAATTTTGAATCCCACCACTGGTTGAAAGGGATTTTGGAGGTCTTCTAATCCAATTCCCTGCTCAGGCACGAAACCCTATACCAGTGATGGCTAACCTTTTTGCCATCGTGTGCCAGGAGGGGGTGGGGCAAGGGGGGCCCGCGCATGCCCAAAGCCATAATTCTATGTGCCCCACCCCTGTGCATATGTGCGTGCCCCCCCCCGGTCCTGGCACGCAATGGCCCGGTAGGCCTGTTTTTCTCTCTCACCTGGCTCCAGAGCCTCTCTATGAGACTGGGGAGGGCGAAAACAGCCTTCCCTACACCCCCCCGGGAGGCCCTCAGAAATGGCCCATTTCCCAACTTCCAGTTGGACAGGAAGTGACGTTTTTTGCAGTCCCCAGTCTTCAGAGACTCCTAGAGAGGCTCTGGAGCTAGGTGAGAGAGAAAAACGGGCCTTCCCCATCACCCCCCAGGCCCTCCGGAGGCAGGAAATAGCCCGTTTCCCTACTTCTGGTGGGCCCAGAAGGCCTGCAAATCAGCTGGTGCACCAGAGCTCAGTTCGCATGTCCACTGGTATGGCTATGCATGCCACCTGTGGCACACATGCCATAGGTTTGCCATCATGGTCCTATACTAATTCAGACAAATAGTTGTGTAATCTCTTTTTAAAAACATCCAGTGTTGGTGCACCCACAACTTCTGGGTGCAAATCATTCCACTGTTCTAACTGTCAGGAAATTTCTCCTTAGTTCCAGGTTAGTTCTCCTCTTGATTAATTTCTATCCATTGCTTGTCCTGCCTTCAGGTGCTTTGCAGATTGTAATCCATCTGAGCACAAAGTACCAGGAAATCTATGCTTGACAGATGAATCTTTGTTAGGGAAGCTTGACACTGCAATAACAAAATGAAACCAATGAAAACTTTTGCAATAAAACCTGTTACCTTGAAAAGCTTGTGGTGACTAGAAACAGAGGCAGTTCTGTATAGCAGTGTTACTCTACCTTGGCAGTTTGAAGATGGGTGGACTTCAACTCCCAGAATTCAAGGCTGTCTGGCTGGGGAATTCTGGGAGTTGACATCCACTCATCTTCAAGCTGCCAAGGTTGAAAAACACTGCTGTAGACGCTGGAGAGAAATCAGAAATGGGAATTTCTGATGTAATTCCAGCAAGTAATCTCTCGTTTCTTCCACTTGTGCCTAATGTTGAGAATTTCTGATGGCAAATCTGCAACATCCATCTGGAAGGATTACAAAGGCTCACCTGAACCCGTGCTTCAGGTAGATTGGCAAACATGGCCAGGCGCTCCCTAGTGTTCACATCTGGGTAATGGGTCTCTTTGAAAGTGTTCTCCAGTGCCTCCAACTGTTCTTCGGTGAAAGCTGTACGGCTCCTCCGCCGTTTCTCGGAGAGTCCATAGGGCAGGTCCAGTAACAGGGCTGTGTGTTTGGAGAATGGAGGAAGGGAAGGGTCATTATAGGTGACTTTTTGTTGGAATATATTGCTGGAATGTATTTTTGTGCAACAACTACAGTAATATTCAGTCAGTAGATAGCAGTGTTTACAAGTTTGGATCTAAACTCTATGTCTTTTCTTCTAAGAAGAGTTTCCTGTTTCTCGTTACATCCAAACAGTTAAGCAGTAAAGCACATGGTGACTGTGCACTTTGTTCGATCGGTGGTGCAATATATAAACAGAATTTCTAACACTTTTATCTCCCCAATTCATTCAAGGTGAAACCTAAAGCCAAGGTGGGGAATCCTCTCTTCAGATCTGTAAGTATTCTGTCAGTTTTGCTGGCAAATACCTGTAGCTCTGGTGTAGGATGAGGGTGAATGTTTATTCTCTGAGCTTGTCAGTTGGTTTCTGAACATTTCATTACAGGCTAGGTAACATCTTCAGAAGAGTTTAGTTTAAACTCCACTGAAGATATTACTTAGCCTGGCAACAAAACGTTTGGAGTCCAACCCATAAACTCGGAGAACAAACCTTCACCCATATTCTGTCAGTGCCAAATGAGAGCAAGGTAAGATTTGTATAGGTAGCCATCCCTTTTCTACTCATCCCCCCCCCCGAAGAGGCATCCACCAAGGGGTCAAAGACATCAAAATAGCAGATATAACTGAACAATAAAAGCGTTGCCCCTTTCTGACGTCTGTCATGTGCATCACTCATACGTGAAAAGAGGTGTGGCTTTGATCGCCCAGTTGTGCTCAATGCTTTGACATCATTCACACCTTTATTTATTTAAAACATTGATATAGCCACCCATCTTTTAATCAACTCTGTGCGGCACCCCATCAAGATACATAAAATCACATTAAACCAGACAGGTAGTCCTCAACTTACAAAAGTTTGTTTAGTGACTGTTTCAACAGCATTGAAAAAAGTGACTTATTACCGTTTTTCACACTTAGTACCAGTGTGATTCATCTAACAACTATAGCAAGAAAGGTCGTAAAAAGGGGCAAAACACAGTTAATTATTGTCTCTCTGTCTGTTCTGCCCCAGCTACGGATCCCAAAGAACACAGCACACACAAAGTCTGTACAAAACTTAAATTTACTAAAATAACTCAGTCTTTTCCAAACAAAGGCTGTTAAGAAACTGCTGTTAAGAAACTTTCTTAACAGCCTACAAGAAACCAAAGATAAAGTAATCACAATCTTACTAAGGTTGGCAGAAAGCCCAGAAGCAATTTGCAGAGAATCCAGACGCGAAGGAGAATGAACTAAAGTTGTTCCCTACAACTTGCTTCAGTTGGCGTTCCTCCTTAAATAGGCTAAGGGAGTGACCAATTAGCTCCAAGCCTTACTCTCGGGGAGACCTCCTCCTGAGGAGCCACTCCTGCCTTTTGGCAGCTCTGTGCACCCGTGCATCGAGAAGAGGCTCCTCCTCTTCTTCCTCTTCACTTAAAGGAGCTTCTGGAGGTTCTGAAGGCCCTGGCTGAATCCCCGCCTCTGGCACCACATCTTCTCCAGCCTCCTCACTGTCTGACTCGAGCGCCAGCTGCACAGGCTGCTGGCGCAGCACCACACCAGCCTCCTCACTTTCAGAATCAGCTACAATCCGCACAGGCTGCTGATAGGCCACAACACTGTCTATTGTTAACTAATGTTGGGCTCAATTGCAGTCATAAGTCGAGGACTACTGTAAAACAATCTAAATGTAGGAGAAGAACAGGGTATGAAGGTCAGCAATTTGACAGTGGCTGTGTGACTCGCTCATCACCAGCCTGACAGACAGAATCTCTCACCTGCCAAATGGTCTGACGTGAGGACCTGGCAGTAAGCAGAGGGCTGAGTCCCAGCCGACAAGGCATAACCCTCTGGTGTTGGTTGAGGAGGCTGCAGGCTGTATCCCAGGGATGGGAAGGCAAGAAGTGGATGAGCAATGGCTCCACGAAGGTAGTATATCATGCCTGTTCTCTTTGCCTAGAGGAGGTGAAAAGAGAAGAGAAGAAAGAGGTGAAAATATATTATACCAAAGGTGCTTTTTCAAAAGGCAACTGGACTTTGTTCTTGAAGATGTTTCGCTTCTCATCCAAGAAGCTTCTTCAGTTCTTCAGGCGTTCTTCAGAACTGAAGAAGCTTCTTGGATGAGAAACGAAATGTCTTCAAGAAAAAACCGAGAAAGTCCAGTTGCCTTTTGAAAAAGCACCTTTGGGACAACCATGACCTGGATGATTGAGAATCTCCATAGATACGTAAAAATATATTGTTACGAGTTGATCAACATTCTTTTTAATGTCATTTTCAGGGCTTGGGGGTCAGGGGAGGTCTGAAGAAAGGAGATTGAAAAATTCAAGATGGTGGACACAACAACGCAATCAAAGCCAGTCTGCACCCTTTTTTGTGCATTGGAATATACTGTTCATTTTTAAAAGTCCACAGACGGGCAAAGAAATGGTGCAAGATCTAAGAGACAAAATGAATCAGGAAGAACTGAATATGTACAACCTGGAAGACAGAAGTGGAAGGGGGGAACATGATTAAAACAGGTGTGAAATGTAAAATTTGTTACTACCGGTTCTGTGGGCATGGCTTGGGGAGGGGGGTAATGTGACTGGATGGGCGTGGCCAACTTTTTTTTCCTTTTTAACTTTTCAAAGCATTTTTTCTAATGCTTTGAAAAGCCTCTGCCGATCAGGCAACTCAGCTGGGATCATCAGAGAGGCTTTTTAAAAAATACCTCTCTGCCGATCAGGCAACTCAGCTGGGAACGTCAGAGACTTTTCAAAGCATTTTCTACCACCTCTTCGGCCAAGAGGTTGCAGAAAAAAATGCTTTGAAAAGCCTCTGACGATCCCAGCTGAGCCATGCGATCATCAGAGGCTTTTTTTTTTTACTTTTACTCCAGTCCGAACCGGGAGCATTTCACCCCTGGACTAAAACCTTTAAATATATTAAATGTGTAAATAAAATTCTCAAAGACAGTATTTTCAACGTTAAGCAAAAATCAAGAACACAGGGGCATAACCTCAAACTGACAGGAAGGGAGTTCAAAAGTAACATTAGACAGTATTACTTCAAGGGCAAGGAAAGACTAAATGAGGAAGATACAGGAGTTGAAATGTAGTAACGAACAAATGGAAATGGAACTGACACAGAATGTATGATCAAAATTTAGTACATTGTTATTTCTATATATATAAATCAATATTAGAATATATGTATAAATAGTAAATTGAAGTAAGGGAGAAAAATGGATATATAAGAAATGATTACTGATGCAGAAATGTTGTAAGGAAGAAAATTGTAAAAAAAAATTGTTTGTTTTAAAAAAAACTGTTTTAATAAAAAAAAAAATTAAAAAAGAAAGTATTACTTCATAAAAAGTGTAATGGAAGCTTGGAACCAACTTCCAGCAGAGTAACTGAGTAACTGAGTAAACTCAGTAACTGAGCTTAAACATTCTTGGGATAAACACATGTCCATCATCTGACAAAAAATTAAAAATAAATATATAAATAAAATATAAAAATAATAATTAAAATTAATAAATTAAAAAGGAAAGGAAAGGGGGAAAAAAAAACCCAAAAGGCAGACTCCGTGCACCACGAGCTCTTTTTCTGCCATCCAATTTTTTATGTTTCTATGACACATTTTTTAAAATCACAAGAGAGTTCATTCTGTGTGGGTTTTTTTTTTTTTTTTACCCTTTTGCAGATCCTTCTGCTGTTCTTCTTTCTCAACTGCCAGGCTGAACTGCTCTTCTGGCAGAAAGCCATCCCAGCATGCAGGCAGCTGTCGCACAAGTCAATGCAAGCCAAATCAATTTTGCATTCTGCCTTTAGACACTATTGGAATCCTGGAAGCAAACAACGCTGCTACAATTGAGGGTGAACTTAAAATCTGTGTGACTCATGCCTAGGGACAAAACAATGGCAGGTTCTTTGATCACAGGTAACGTGTCAGTGTTATCAAATCTGAAGTTTTACTTGCTGTGTTGGAACCAACTCCATAAGTTATTGATTGATTTCCTTTGCACCTTGTTGCAATCAATTTGATTCTCAGCATTTGCACAATGAAGGTAGTCTTCGACTTATGACCACAACTGAGCCCTAATTGACAGGACCTGCAACATACCCAGCTTTCTCATCCTGTGGATGTAATAGGGTGGAGGAATTAGGAGAGAAGCAGTCCTTCACATAAACCCTATTATGGTTTAATAGAGGTAAAGGTAAAGGTTCTCCTCGCACATATGTGCTAGTCGTTCCCAGCTCTAAGGGGCGGTTCTCATCTCCCGTTTCAAAGCTGAAGAGCCACCGCTGTCCAAAGACGTCTCCGTGGTCATGTGGCCGGCATGACTAAACGCCAAAGGCGCACAGAACGCTGTTACCTTCCCACCAAAGGTGGTCCCTATTTTTCTACTTGCATTTTTACATGCTTTTGAACTTCTAGGTTGGCAGAAATTGGGACAAGTAACAGGAGCTCACCCCGTTATATGGTGCTAGGGATTCGAACTGCTGAACTGCCGACCTTTCTATCAACAAGCTCAGCGTCTTAGCCACTGAGCCATTGCGTCCCATTCAGGGGTGAAATGCTCCCGGTTCAGACCGGATCGCACGATCCGGTAGCGATGGCGGTGGGTGGTTCGGAGAACTGGTAGCAAAAATCCCTGGGCCCCCCCCCTCCACCATGCCCAGCTAAACCGCAGGATCATCAGAGGCTTTTTTTTTTTTTTTACTTTTAAAAGCATTTTTTCTACAACCTCTTCCGATGAAAAAATGCTTTTAAAAGTAAAAAAAAAAAAAAAGCCTTTAATGATTGCACGGCTCAGCTGGGATCATCAGAGGCTTTTCAAAGCATTTTTTTCTGCAACCTCTTGGCCGCAGAGGTGGTAAAAAAAATGCTTTGAAAAGCCTCTGACGATCCCAGCTGAGTTTCCTGATCTGCAGAGAGGTATTTTTAAAAAAGCCTCTGATGATCCCAACTGAGTTTCCTGATTGGCAGGACGATCCCAGCTGTTAAGATACAAGCAGAATAAACAGGAAGTGCCACTCAATAAAGCAGGGCTGGAAAATGGTAAGAAATATAGCATAATTAGGTTTGTATAATATAGGTAGTTCTCAACTTACAACCACAATTGAGCCCAACATTTCTGTTGCTAAGCGAGACAGGTAAGTGAATTTTGCCCCATTTTTACGATCTTTCTTGACAGCGAATCACTGCAATTCTTAAGTTAGTAACACAGTTGTTAAGTGAATCTAGCTTCCCCATTGACTTTGCTTGTCAGAAGGTCGCAAAAACTGATCCTGGGACACTGCAGCTGCCATAAATATGAGCCAATTGCCAAGTGTCAGTATTTTAATCACAGGACCATGGGAATGCTACAATGGTCGTAAGTGTAAAAGAACGGTCATAAGTCACTTTGTATAGGGTTGTTGTAAATTTGAATGGTCACTGAATGAACTGTTGTAAATCAAGGACTATCTGTATTCTTAACCAGAATTTTGAGCTGGTACAAGGTACTGAATCATAAACTAACCACTTGCTTAGTTTTACAAAACATCCCAAACCCTAAGTCCTCACCAATATTAGCACTAGCCAAACACAACCTATATGTGAATGCATCTGCTAAGTTTATATTTAGATGATTCCCTGTGTTGTGTGAATGCAACCAATTCTATCAATCTGGGGTGTAGGAGGAAAGGAAGACCCTTTCACCTCTTAGTCTAAGAAATCTTTGTGTGTTCAGACAAACACACCTCAAGCCCATCTGCAAAAGTCTAAAATCACCAAAATATACCACGACACAAATAAAATTTCTCTGAACTTGGCACGTTGCGCTTATCTCTAATTCAGAAGTGTGACCCTTGTCACACCCATATCACTTACCAGCTCCAAGATCTCTTCTTTACTCTTTCGGCTTTGTGGACCTGATGACAATTCCCCTCCTCTTCTGCTATTTAACCACCTCAGGATGGGGGGAAACAATATATGTCCATCCACTGCTCAGCGCCCCCCCCCCACCTCTCTCTACAATCTCATTCCCCACCTGCTCAGACCACATCCAAGAGGAACACAACCAAAGCCGGATTAAAAAGTTTATTTTTTTTTCCCTCTCTGGGAGTGGGGCTGGGGGGATTTGAAGAGGCTTAAGTGGAGCTCAGGGACATGTGTGCGTGTGTCCATGGGTCCATTTTGTTCACCATTCAAAACGTGGATTAATTTTCAGGGGGGTAAAAGAATGTCAAAGAGTTAAAAGGCTGTAGCTTCCCTGCTCTCTTCGACCCTCCAAGCGGGCCTAAGCTTCTGGCTTTTCTACTAAGCGGTCATTAATTTCCAAACAGAATTTTTTTTTTTAATTTGATTTATATGCCGTCCTTCTCCGGAGACTCAGGGCGGCTTTAATGCGTTAAGCAATAGCCTTCATACTTTTGTATATTTATACAAAGTCAGCTTATTGCCCCCACAAACTGGGTCCTCAATTTGCCTACCTTAGAAAGGATGGAAGGCTGAGTCAACCTGGAGCCTGGTGAGATTCAAACTTACAGTAATTGCAGACAGCTGGTGTTAATCACAATGCTATCAGTCTGCTGAGCCACCAGGCCCTGAATTGAATGGAAAAACCAAGGCTCCATTCAATTATACGAAAAAAGATTTCTCAAGGTTGAAATCTTAATTTGCCTAACCCAGTAACTTTTAACATTTTGAAGACAAAGCTGGAAAAACTTTTAAGAAAAGGTAGCCAACCAATTAAGAGAGCCAGAGCAGGGGTGGGCTGCTGGGGGTTCGCAAGGGTTTGGGAGAACCTCTAGCTAAGATTCTGTGCAGTTCAGAGAACCCCCAAATCCACTCCTGGCTTGCCCCGCCCACCTCACCCCGCCCGTCCCAGGGGTCCCCACGCGGCCTGTTTTGGATGCAGGTAAGTGCAGGGTGTGCACAGAAGCTCAGGGAGGGCAAAAAACGGGCCTACTGGAAGTTTGGGAAGGCCAGAGATGGGCCAGAGGG